TTCCCTTCCTTCTACTTACCATCATAGCAGGTGCCTGTTTTATCGCAATTCACATCAGTCCTGGTAATGTTGGTCAAGTTCGGATCTTCGGTGGTGTCCAGACTCACGGGCAGCGTATCCAGTTTGTCCAAAGTACCAGGTGGTGAGTTCGTCTTCTCGCAAGCATTCTCAAAGTACTGTCCTATCGGTTCACCGTGATCTATTAGTGGACGTTCGTGATTCAGATAAGTCGAAGGACCATCTGGCAGTGTCTTGTGATCCAAGTGGAACAAACGGCAGTTGTACTGTGAGCCCTGCGGTTGACCGAGATACAAAAAGGAACGACACAAGAATTCCGTTTCGATTTCACAAGCCAACCGGCAGGCGGACTCCGAAGTGACCTGCAATTCCTTGTCCGTGTAGTAGTGAAGTCCCACATATTGGGCGACCTTCTCTTCCGATACACCCACACGTGCCACTGCAAACGAGCGATTGTTTTTGCACGCCTGCGCTGGCTTCAAGCATAAATTCTCAAAGTAATCTGTGCCTTGCGCATCGACCAGCTGCACAAATTGACCCGAGCTGCGACGATCCGAGTCGCTCAATACACATTTCATGTTATTGTAATCGTATTCGACCGATCGACAAACGAAGCGTTTCTCATTCAAACACGCCGACAAGCAGGCCTCCTTGGTGCTGGTGTAGATGAGCGCATTATCCAGACCACGTATAACCTTATTGGGCACACGCTCGAACGCCCACGGCCGATGGCAGACATTCTCGCTGCGCAGCTGCAATTTTACCATGTAGTACATGTTGGCGGAGCGTTGCGGCGCCGCTGAGGGGTTGTGTGCTGACGAATCGTTCTGCAGCTGGCAGTGTGTCTCCTGTGAGGGTGACAGCGGATTGACGACAAAACTGAAAGCGGCCGCCTGGCAATCGGCCTCCTCGCGACACCAGCCCTGACACTCGTACAGCGACAGATTCTTGACGCTGTAGTATGTAGTGCCAGCGAAATCGTAGTCTGTGAGCTTTTCGAAAGCCATGCGCGCTGCGGCGGGGCTGGGTAGCAGCACGACGACGGCTAGGCAGAGGACGAGCGCAAAGCGTATGTTGGCCGTCAATGATGAAGGGGAGGACGTCGACCGACTGGACATGGTTGGATGATACTGACGGTGTAGTAATCGCATCTGAAAGGAAAAGAAAATGCGTAAAAGTCAGTATTGATGTCGGTGCTTGGTAAGAGGAAGCTAAAACTGGACAAGCAAAATTAGTGAATACAATTAATTTTAAATTTAAATTAAATTTTGAGTGAGCTTAAACGGTACATTCGACAGTAGAGTAGCCTGGCATTAAAGGTTTACATTTGTTTGATTTAAATTATGCTGAGGTTTCGAACAGATTTATTTGATTTAATAAAATTTCATGTAGAAAACTTTCACGTGTGTTTTCGATCATAAAGTGGCACCATTTCGGTTCTGAAAAAAGGGGATATTTGTTTGAATTAATTTAACTTTTTAATTGGAAAGAGTTTTCAAGTAACCTTAGAAAAAGCTTTCGACCAACGAAAAGCTCTGTTTCAAAAGCAAGATTTGTTGGAGTTAATAAAAATTGATACAGGGAAAGCTTTACGGCTCTATTCTGTATCAGTGACAAATTCTTGTCACAGTATTTTTTACGGAAAAGTATATGAAAAAGTTAAAATTTGTGAGTAAAAAAATTTTTGTCGCCGATACAGAATTGGGCTATTAATGTGACTTCATAAAACGCTTTTTCGACTTAGTTAAAATTTATATATTAAAAGCTTTCACGTGACTGCNGTTTCGAACAGATTTGTTTGATTTAATAAAATTTCATGTAGAAAACTTTCACGTGTGTTTTCGATCATAAAGTGGCACCATTTCGGTTCTGAAAAAAGGGGATATTTGTTTGAATTAATTTAACTTTTTAATTGGAAAGAGTTTTCAAGTAACCTTAGAAAAAGCTTTCGACCAACGAAAAGCTCTGTTTCAAAAGCAAGATTTGTTGGAGTTAATAAAAATTGATACGGGGAAAGCTTTACGGCTCTATTCTGTATCAGTGACAAATTCTTGTCACAGTATTTTTTACGGAAAAGTATATGAAAAAGTTAAAATTTGTGAATAAAAAAATTTTTGTCGCTGATACAGAATTGGGCTATTAATGTGACTTCATAAAAAGCTTTTTCAACTTAGTTAAAATTTATATATTAAAAGCTTTCACGTGACTGTTCGTGCTTTCGAATGCTCAAAAAAAAAATACACATTCGGCTGAATTCTT